CCCCCCCCCCCCCCCCCCCCCACCCCCCCCCCCCCCGCCGGCCCCCCCCAGGAGTTTTTCAAAAAAACAATTTTTCTCAGAACTATTCACAACATATATAAATTGACTCAGTTTTTAACGATGATTCCGAATCTGATATTAATTTTGAACCAAAGTGTAGCTTTTTAATAAAATATCGCTTGAAAAAGGTTTCAAAATGCATAAAAAACTGCATCCAGAAAGCAAATTACCTAGATATGTCTCAGATGACCAGTAGTTTTGGGGTTTTCCAAATGCCTGGTTTTGTAGCCAGACAAAAAAGACTATCGAAAAGTAAAACCCCAAACTCGATAGCTATTAATATTGGTGATTTATTAGGAAAATACTGATGGGTGTGTTTATCATATATCTCTTATAGATTCATGAGGTTGCTTACGATCTTAATCCCGCTAGATACAAACGCAAATCCATTGAAAAATAACTCTTCTTACCCAGTTTTACAGGTTAAACACGAATCTGAACTCAATTTCTATGATTTCTAAATATATTGTATCACTCTGAGAGTAGAGTCAGTGGTCACCGGATAGAGTCGCATACAGCGTGGTCAATGTTAACTTAGCACGCCTGTATTTTCTTCTCGCAATTTGGTGACAAGGGATGTATCTTGATGAGATCTATGTCTTATAGAATAAATGCGAAAACCTCGGATTTAAATCCGATGTTTCCACATTTATTCAGTTTACAGCTAAATTGTCCATACATCGATTGATTAAATTTTTATTTAATCTTTTACTACACATGTAGCCGATAATGAATAAATAATGGGAAAATGATCCATTATTTTTTATTATTTGAAAAAAACATGACTTAATGCATTATTTAGAGTAATATTTTTAAGTTAGAGAATTCACCATTTTCGTAAAAGAGATATTGAAAAAGGGATTTGACAAGTAGATGTTTGATTCAATCCAGCTTTCTGTGTATCAGGCGCTTTTCAATAATAGTATAGCGCAAGTTAAAGAACTAATAAAAAAATGTAACCTGAGTTACAGCGCTCAGAGTATTTTTCGAATCCCCTTTTCCTGATAATGGAAATCTAATCCTATTTTCAGAAATCACTAGGGTATTCAACGAAACCTACACTATTGAATACTTGAGTCAAAATCTGATGAAGTTTATCAGATTACCCTTTCAGTTTCCAAAATATTATCCCTAGGCAAGTCGAAGAGTTTCCGAGTTTACTCAATCGCGACAATGTGTACTAACGAACCAAAATCCGATCTCGACTTTCTATTTGATGCAATGAAAGGCTACTAGAGCTGTTTTGACTGCTTTTAGAATATTCTGTAGAATGAAAGAGATTACAGTGCTCAAACCTCTCAAAAGAAGTTTTCCCTCTTCGTCATTGTTCAGTTTCAAATGTATCTAGTAAACTAAAACTGCTCACAGTATCAACTATAACTGATTCAATCAAGAATTATTCCCTCTATGAGATAGTTTTTTTTCCAAAGCTGAAACAGCGTTAAATCATCTATATGTTCTTGAACTGTTGTTGGCTTCAACTACAATGTGACATGATTAAAATGGCTAGTTTGAATTCAATATTAAAATTATTTATTCTTCTGTGTTTTAAGTTGATATCGATTATAATCGAAATGGCAAGTTTGAACTTAATAATAATAAACATATTTATTCATTAATTGTCTTTTGTTTTAGATTCTTATCGATATGATCAAAATGATACGTTATTTGATATATATATATATACGAGGGTTGATGAAACGTAAGGGGTTAAATTCAGTTAGAGAGATAGATTAATGTTAAGGGGATAGATACAGATAAGTTAAATGATTAAGATTAAAGGGTTAAGTTAAGGGAATAGATGTGCAGATCCACAGAAATACAATTATCGTGGTTAGGATATCGATTTAATAGGATTATATAGATCTTGTGTAGCAAGTGCCGAATATGAAGTTTTCAATGCATTATATATACTAATGTACGCAATTACATGATAATGCAACCTATTTAATGCATTATAGTGAATTATTTGTACATAACGCTCATCCTAATACATTATAATGCATTAAATAGGTTGCATTATCATGTAATTGGATGCATTGCAATGTGCATTATGTCGTAAAATCGGCTACATGGGTACTTTTGTTTTCTTTTTCTGATTCATGCTCATCTCGTAACTTTTACACGTACAGTCTAATGCATTAGAGTTGTAATAATAGAACATCTAGTTTTTCTTTTGATTAACTTATTTTTTGTTATTCAAAATCAATTTTTTGCTTATTCGACCTAGAACAGATAAAAATAATCTATTAATTCAATTCGATTCGATTAAGTTCCAAAAACAAACTAGATGGTCCATAGAGAAGAAGCTTTTGATTGCAATGAATAACAGCTCTATCAATATTCGCTTTGTCAAATCTAATAACAGTAAAAGCGCATATTGCATTAATAGAGATTTTAATGGTAAATCAAATTGATGAATACTTGTTGTGCAAGTTGATCAAGTAAATCTTCAGGTAATATTTAACAATTTACTTCAGTAAAACATACAAATTAACAGAAAATTTGTTCAAATACGCGCTTCTCTGTATAGGAAAATTCTTTTTTTTATCTAGTCATATTTGAATTTTAGAAAGATTTTTTTACTGAAATTTGTATTTTGCAACTATTATTAATTTATGGGAATTTTCTTTGTCTTTAGATCCCAAAAAAAAAGAAAGAAGATGACATTTCACAGTTTCGTAGATAATTTCATTTTTGTATTGGCTTTTATTTATTTGTCGGTAGATGAACAAGAAATGTTCAAATGCCAAACTTAATATCTTATCTATCAATGATCAAAGTCATACTCAAGAGCAAGAAAAAACAAAAATCATCATTGGCGGAAGTCTGCTACTAAAAATATGCATGTGTTTATCAGTCTGTCTCTATTCGATGTCTAGTCATCTATCTGTTCATGTTTTTTTGCTTCTTCAAAGATGATCTAACATGACATATTCATTAATTATTCTCTTCAATGATGATCAATCGAATAACATATTATTTTTTTTCTGTTTTTTTTCTATTTATAATCATTTCTTATATTTGCATCGATTGATCAAATTTTATTTGAAAACAAATCCTTCGAATAATCAGCATATCTCTCTTCAACAATTTATTATCGAATTATTAAATAAATAAAAAAAACACAAAACAGAGACAACAAAAAATTAGAAATAGCTATTCGATCGTGAAAAAGTAAAATATTTTGTGCAGGATTGAAATAATTTCAGATAAGCTCGTCTATATTTAATTTGTATAAATGGATAAAGAAATGGATTACATGTTGAATTCATCCATAAAAGCCAAAAAGATATTTCAAATATAATTGTTGACACATTTGCACCAGCTGTTGATGCTGTTGCACAAATAACATATGGAAATAAAAATATAAGAAAAACAATAACAAGAATAAATAAAGAACGTGCAGCTTTTCGATCACGAATTATTCTCGATCGACTTTGGCGATGTTTTCGACATTTACTTTTTGATCTATTTGTTGAAGCAATTTCATTAAAATTTGATTTCGTTAAATCATTTTCATATTGATTATCGTGATCATTATCGTTTTCAATTTCAATTTGATATTCAGTTATGGATTCATTACGATAATTATGAGATACATATTGACTAACACTTGCTCTTTTTCGAGATAAATTTACAGTCGGTAATGATTGAACAGTTTTATTTTCAATGTCTTTTTTCTCTGTATTCGAAGTTTTTTTTCTAAATGAAAAGAAAAAAAGTTTGAAAATAACTCAAAAAACAAAAGAAACATTAACAAAATATACGTGTGTTGAGATTTTCTATGAATAAATGATGATATTCGAGAATTATTTGATGATTCATTTTTATGTTTATTAAAGAACTTTAAATTAGTTTTATTTGAAGTGATTTTTTCAATAATATTTTGATTTTCTTCAATTATTGTCGATGGGCAACGTTCAATAAAATTTATTTTATGTTTTGATAATATTGATAAATTTTGATCATCCTCTGTATCTTTACTTGTTCCTCCTAATGGAGATGAAACAATATTTTCTTCTTTTCCCTTTATCGATTGATTGCATGACATAAGACGACTCATTTTACGAGTTCTTTTCCATATATTTATCATTATTAATAGATTAAGTATACATAAAAGAATAAATGGCCAAATAAAATAATTAAATTGTGCTATTAACATATATACAAATGAATTATGATAATCACCTGAACAATCATTACGAGTGTCATTTTTTATAAGATTTTCTTTATAAAATAAATTTAATAACCATATACCAGGAGCAAAATTTACTAATTATTTATTTAAATTTATTCTTTTTTTTTTTATTAAAATAAATAACTTACTAAATGAAAGACACCAAACTGATGCCATTACTATATAAACAAGATGTTGTCTGACATATTTTCTATAAGATATCGGATAAGCAATTGACCAATAACGATTGATACTGATTGCAACTATATTAATAACACTTGCCATCGTAGCTACATCATCAATGGTAACCTATTCAAATATTTATGATTATCTTATATTTTACAATTAATTAGTTGGTTTCGATATGTTAAAAAATTACCCAAATTTTACAAAAAAGATGTCCAAATGGCCATGACTGTGTAATACTAAATAAGAATTGAATAAGAACAGCAAGTAAAATTTCTAATAACGAATAAATATAAATATTAACCTGAATGGAATATAAAATGGAATACAAAAAAATCCAACAAGAAAATCAGCAATAGCCATATTCAATATAAAATAATCTTTAAAAACAAAAATAATAAACTAATTGATGGATGAAGAAAATAAAAATTACCATTAATTGTACGTAATTTATTGTCACAATAGAAAGCTAAAAGTACAACAATATTACCAAGAGCTGTGATCAATGCAATAAGACTCAAACAAAGTGCAATAAGTATTGAATAGATAATTGATGATGAAATAAATAAATTTGATGAATTCGTAATTGACATTTTCATTGTTACATTTAACAGAAATAATTGAGAAGCATACATGTTTAAATTATTAATTTATTTATAAAAATTAATTTTTTGTTAATAGAAATATTTTCTTATAAAATATGTTCATTATAATAAATAAATATAAGCAATCAATGGTTACTAAATAATAAAATTAATTAGTCTCTTCAAAATATATCCATTTTATATTGCTAACAAAAAGAAATAAAAACAAACTTTTACTCTAATATCATCGTTGAAAACAATTCTTTACTATTTTTTTCCCTACAGTTATATTTGACAGCAATTCTATTCAACAACAATATAATAATTATATCTTTAACTTTTCTTAAAATAAGATTTATACACGATTATTATCTGTTTGTGTGTGTGTGTTTCTAGAACATATTTAATCAATCGAATTTTTATTTGATAAAATAAAAATATTTCATTAATTTAATATAAAACTTTTTCTACTATCCATTGAATAAGCTTATCTACATTGAGATAAGATAAATATTTCTATTGATTAAACAATCAATGATATATTGAATTTTCTAATTGAGAAGCTCGAAATACATGAGAAATTCTATTGAATTAATTATCAAATCAACATAGTTAAACTAAATAATAAAAATTTTATTTCATGATAAATTGCTTTTACGATTACTTTAGGAAAATTAATAACCATAATTATTAAATCAAAATATCTTTCGTTTTTTCTTGCAAAAGAAATAAATAATAATAACTTACGATAAATAAGATCTGATTGTTGAACAATGAATCTACGTCTTTTGAAAATGTAATAGTCTTGTCTTTTTCTGTTGACTTAAACTGCTTGTCAAAATAAATTAATCGAATATTTCCAAATACTTGTTAACATTGACAGTTGTCACTCATCAGAAAATCTAACTAATCTTATCAATATTTTTAAAAGAGAACGAATATATTTTCACTGTCGTCGTCTTTTCTTTGAAACTTGCTCGAATGTAAAACTAACGATAATGTCTGTCGCGTGTTCAATAGACTTTATTTTGTTTTTATCGACCGGAACTCAACCTGTTATATAAAAAATATTTTCTTCTTTTATTTGTCGAGTATTCATTGTCTAAGTAATTCTTTCTATTTTGAAATATTCTTTTATTCTATAATAAATTCTTTAATCTAATCGCTTATTCCATGCAGAACGTAGACGTTACTCGACAAATAGAATATGAATTCTAGAAGAACATAAAAGAAAAACCGTTCAGTTCTCTCTCTCTCTCTCTCTCTCTCTTATTTTTCCTCCTTAATGAGCAGATGTAAGCCACTCGTAGAATAACAGATAGAGAATTCTTTAAGGACATCGAGAAGTTAATTTCATCAAAAATATTTATTGATATAAGAAGATCTTATTGAATTAAATTATTTTAATTAATTTTAAAAGAAAAAGAAAGATTTCGACAATTAAATTTATTTGAATTCATTTATATATAATTATATTAAAAATAAATAAGTTTAATTATTTTAATTGAGAAAAAAGAGATTTAACTATTTTATCTTAAACATGAAAAGTCGAAGCAAGTTTTCTGATGATAAGAAAATAACAACCATTAGAATAGAAGCTGCTGTCAAACCTCAATAAGACTATTCTATAGTAAAGACAATTTCTTTCTCTCAAACAGACATAGAATATCATTTGGAAGGAACATTCAGTCTTAAAGGTTCAAACCTTTGGACGATTCTCAATATATGTGGGGCTAATTCAAGCAATATTGACATACTTTCTATTCCAATATAATGTTTATTCGGACGATCATCTAAGTACTGCGCAGTCAATATTAGCGAAGAGAAAACGATCATCTTATGATTGGATTTGCGTTTTTGCTTGACAGACAAAGTAGTTATTTTAACTCAGAATTACAATAGAGTTGAGTTTTTTCGCTACACACACACAAGAATCTGATAATCATGAAAACGTTTTGATACTTATGATGAGCGATGAAAGTGAGGCAATCATTTTCTTTAGCTTGTCCTTCACAGATCATGCGTATGTTTTTCGGGTATTGAACTTCGTTAAAACCAAATTTTTATTCAAAAATAAGTTTTATTAACGATACCATCATTCACTAGTAGATTAATTTAAAATGTACAGAATAGATTAACAGATATCCTAATGTTTTGTTACTTAATGATATCGCACAGAAAAACAGCAGTCTATACTATTTTGATGCACAAACAAACTTTCAAAATAAAAATAAATATATATTTTGAAATTCTCAAGTTTTTAAATGTCTGTACTTCTTTCTGACAGACAATTCTGAATGATTTTGTTTTCTCCATAAATTCTATCAGATCATTAGTGTCGCTTATTATTGACAATCGACTATGAAGGATTAGATTAGTTTTCCTTCTTCGTATCATCTTCTACGTGTTTATGCATCGAAGTTTGATTGAACTAAAAGTCAATCAAAAAATAAAAAGAAGGAAATAAAATAAAATTGCATTCATTTTTTAAGATTCTAGTAAAAGAAAAATTCAATACGTAAATCATTGAAATTAAAACAAATTCAAAAAGACTAACCGACATAAATTTATTATGATTAATAAAAACAAATGTCAACAACAAAATCTACATCAGATTATACATTAAATAAATACGATAATTATTGAAAGAATTCGATTATAAACTAAGAAAAAATAAGAATTGTACAGAAGCGACGTTTAACATCTTTATTTTATCTTCAGCAATCGGTGACATTTGCTCAAGACCCTTTCTTTTTATATAAAAATTCATTATTTACATTAATCGATTTATGCACGTCTATCGATAATTCCGTTACGAGATTATTCTTCATTAAATTGATGTCCAAAATATAAAATAACATACTGTTAATTGATGATCAACAATGTTTAACCAATATTTGTTTTTATTCAAACAAAACTAATCTTATTATGAATTGTAAAAACAAATTTTAAAACTAATAATTCTTTTCAATAGATAGATACAAAAAAAACTCCTTTGAAATTTTTTGTTTCAAATGAAAGAAACTTCAAAATAAAATTCATTTTTCTAATTCAATATTCTTCTGTTCAGTTTATTTATTTATTTGTTTATTTATTTTTGTATATTAAATCAATTATGTTAACAGATGAACGTCAAGCATATATAGTTGAAAATATATCATCGTGATAAGAAAAAAGTTGAAATAAATATTACTAGATAAAGAAATTTTTTTCAAAGTTTCGTAATCATTTTTCGCTATTTATTTTTTCATTTGTAGTAAAAAAATTTCAATTAAATTCCGTTTTACATTTTTCCACAAAAGATTTTACTCATTCTAACAACAACAAAGATAAGATTTCTACAATATTCAGCTACAGTTCTGCCTCAAAAACCAAAATTAACAAGCATCCACTTATTTTTATTTTCACTTGAAAAATTTCTTTCAGTAAACTTTAAACTCATAGGCCGATTTAGTCAATGATGAAGAAGATTGATCATGTATTTCGTTTTACTTTTCATTTTGTAGAGCAAAATATTTTATAGAGGCCCTTGAATATTGATTCACAAGAGATTTGTTCTAGGCGATATTCAATTAAGTAAATATGATGCTTTGTATTTGCTTAATCTATTGTGTTTTTCTATTATTTTTGAAAAAATTTAGCCAGAGGCTATGATTTGATACATGATCGTGTTTATTTGCATAGTGATATTCAAGAAACATCGTATCCAAAGGTACTCACGCGTCCCGCGTGCATATATATATATACATATGAATAGAAAAGACACTTTTTGATAATTCAATCTTCGTACGGTGCGTTTTTACCCTTCAAATCATTCAGTCAGTCTTATTGAAACGAACTTCATATGAGTGATTATGTTCTCTATTAAAAACTCGCGTAAGATATAGATACTCGTTTTGTATTACGTTCACAGTGAAATAAAGAGAACTTTTAATTTGTTTTTAAATGGAAATATAGTTCTGAATTATTGTATGATTCTTTTCTTTTATCGATTATTTATTATATCATAGATAAGATGCGTTTTTTATGGATTTTTATCGCTATTCTATTGGCAATGTTTGCCTCATCAACAAGTAAGTTAAACTGATGTTGAACACTTTTGAGATATATTCTATCTACTCTTCATTATTTGAATAGTGGCTCAAGGAACTCAACCATATCCATGTATAATGGGTGGACTTCCTATGTGTATTACATATTGTATACAACAAGGATGTGCTGTGGGTCGATGTGATAATCCACAGTCGTGTATTTGCGACCGATGCAATGCAGGATCAGGGCCACCACCACCAGGAACGAAATAAATGATTCATCTTCAATGAACAACGAAAAATAAATCGTTTCCTGTCGTTTTCATGTGACTGATTTTTTTCTAAATATTTTCTTTCCTTAAATAATCTTTATCATCTACACTGTTTTCATGTTCGAATAAATACAAACGACTATACCGGTTGCATCAAACAATAAACAAATTAAAATTATGAATGGAAACAATAGGTTTAATAAATAATTTCATAAGAAATGCTTAGAATAGAAAAAAGACTTCTATTTATTTGAAGAATAGAATAATAACCTCCAATTAATCATTTGTCTATTTTATCCGAAAAGTCAAATCTTTTTTTCCAATAAGTTGAATCTTTTTAGATTCTAGAAAAATAATAGCAATAGATTCGCATTCAACGATGTAGATCGAAACTGATGCGATGGATTATTATTTTCAATGTTTGATCATTTATATTGTTTCTTTATCGACTTGAACTAATCGGAAAGTAGTGAATAAGTATACAGAAAAAATTCATAAATTGAGAAGATTCGATAGACAGCCTTAAGAGATGTCTTCTGGTTATAAAAAGGATAAAAATGATAGTTTGTCCTGCATATAAAAACTAGAATATTAAATCAACTTGGCTACATTGAAATATAAAATGAAAAACTATTCTAGAAAGATCTCAAATGAGTTTTATAAATAATTAGATATTAAAATATAAGATTGCAATGATACATTTGAACTTTCCTCTTACCCTTTTTCCTACATATTTAAAAAAAAACCTTTTTTAAAATAAAAATAAACAGCGGAAGAATGGTAAAGAAAACTAGATAAATAAAAATTACTATTGAAACAAAAATCATTTTTAAAATGATAATCACAGAAATACAGTCATTTTATTTACTTGAATTACTTTTCTTATAGTACGTGACCTATATAGTTTTGATCAACAGATGTCATGACCTTACTGATGAATAAATATTTTTAGGCGCCATCTTTATATTCATATTTTAAATATCTGTCTATATATTTTATTTTTCTATAAACAATCAATTAAATCTTATAAAAATAAAAATAAAAATGAACCATATTTTTATTGTTACAATAAGCAAACAAAACTTTCGAAATAGTAGAAGATGAATCATGATAATATTTTCAAAGATTGATCCATCCATTTTATTCATTCACTGATACTAATTATAATATGTAATTTTTTTTCTCAGATTAAATCATAAAAAGAAAAGAAAACCCAAAATCATGTGGCCTGAAGTTGAACAAGCTGCATCCAAACATCGTTATGAATTAGTTTTATCTGGTGATAAAATAACAAAACGTTTAGAAGTAAAAAATGAATTAGATCCAACAATTTGGACGTTAATTCAATTGAATTTTCTTGAAATAAGTCAATGTCCATTAGTTGAAACATTATCTGAAGATATTGGAAAATTGATTAATTTATCAACATTGACATTAACATCAAATAAACTTTATAAATTACCAGAACAAATGAAAAATCTTGAAAATATGCGTCATTTGAATTTATCGAATAATCAATTGAAGGCAATAAATCAAGATTTTTTTCTTCAATTAAATCATTTAGAAACATTAAATTTAAGTAATAATCTATTAGAAAGTCTTCCACCATTTTCAAGTGAAAACAATAAAAAATTGGCTATTATCAATTTATCACATAATAAACTTGAAATGCTTCCAGATTTTCCAGAACAATTAGAAAATCTTTCACAAATTGATTTATCATCCAATCAATTTAAAGATTTCCCAAAAACGCTTTTACAAATAAATTCATTAAAAATTCTTATAATCGATTCAAATCAATTAACTGAAATTCCAAGTCAATTGAGTCAATTAAATCGATTGAAAGGTTTATTAGAAGTTTATTTACTTTATTTTATTATTATTATTATTAATATATTATAGAAATTCGATTTAAATCAAATCCATTGAAAGATAATCGATTAAAAAAATTAATGGAACAAGATAAATTCAAAGCTGTTTTAGAGTATTTAGCTAAGCAATGGAATGAACAACAAAAATCCATAACAACAACAACAACAACAACGTCAAAATCCCTTCCGGCAAAACAACAAGAATTAAATGAAGAATATCAAAATAAAATTGAAATTTTACATTATGATCAACCAGGCGATTTAAAAGGAAGACAAAGTTCGTTTATTTATTTTATATTTATTAATAATTATACATTGGTTTTCTTTTTAGTAACCATATTACCTCGAGTTCTCAATGTTCGACCTCATATATTATGTTGTATTGTTCGAAATATTGATTTAGAAACTCCAGGAAATTTAAAGAAATTTTTAAATCTTCAAGTAAGTTACTAATTTTGTTTTGTCCGTCAACGATTTTCAATAGTAAGACAATGAATATTCATTATTTTTTTTATTTCAACAATTATAGAAAAAAATAATTAACGAATAAGATTTCAAATTGTATTTCTTTTTAAACATTATTATGTTTTCTTTAAACTAAATTTAAAATTCTTTGTTTAAATCTGATCATAAAAGCAGATTGATTTATCGTTCTAAGATAGCAAAAAAACAAGTCTTTTCTCTAATTCATTTTAATAAAAGTAAGAAACTTTTTAATTTTACTAGAACAATTCTATTGAATATTTTTTTCTTCTTGTTGCTATGGAAACTTTAGCATTGATCGGTGGCGGTTTTTTTTTTGTTGAAATTGACGTTTTTAGGGTTGATTCAAACTGAAAAAATATAGTTTATTTTATTTTAGAATGAATTACATGATGAAATTTGTCAAAAACGAACATTAGCAACAATTGGTACACATGATTTATCATTAATATCAGGAAACTTAATATATGATGCTCGGGATCCTGACGAAATAGGTCTTGTACCACTTGGTAAAGGTCCAAAATTAGTTTCAGCAAGAGATTTCTATGATCAATTATGTCGAGAGGCTGAACATGAAAGAAAATTAAAAAAACGAAATCAACTTTCAGGTCTTAACAAGTAAGTTTTCATATTTATTTGGGTCTTTTTGTTTTATATTTAAAATAAAATAAAATAAAATTTCTTTTTTTAGATATTTAACATTATTAGAAGATCAACATGATTTTCCTTGTTTATCTGATCAAGATCGATATGTTATTTCACTTCCACCATTGACAAATGCTGAAAGAAGCAAAGTAAATAGAAAAAAATAAGAAAAAAATAGACTTAAATATAAATAAAATAATTTAGTTAAGTCCATCAAGTGAATCAATATTAATTGAAATAACTTCAAATCATTCAATGGATATTTGTCGTCGTGTTATGGATTTAATTTTACAAAAAATGATTGAAATTAAATTAGGAAAAACAAGTAAAGATTTGAATATTCGACAAACATTAATATTGCAACAAACAAAAGTTGTTGATGATAAAGGACAATTAAAAACAACATTTCCATCTCGTACTGATCTTCATTGGAATGAAAATTCTAATTTACCGATTTTAATTGAAAGATTAACGATTGAAAAATAAAGAAATAAAGAAATAAAGCTGTTCTTCTGTTTTAGATCTATAGTAAAATGAAATAAAAGACGAGTGGTAATGAATCCTCGTCGATTAAATAATAATTCAATGACACACAACGAATATCGTATTGATTTGAATTCTCCAAATAATATTGAAGATATTGAAACAGTTCAAGAAGATCTTGTTAATCAAATTCAACAAACAAATCGACCAAATATTAATAATGATCATTTACATCAATTAATTAATTTATTAAAAGATAATTTAACATCAACATTTCCTTTTATTATTATTCTTATTCTTAAAGCTTTCTATGAACATTCTGCAGGTATTTGGTTTTGTCTTTTTCTTTAACATTGATTTATCATATAGAAGCTTTTCATTTTATTTCAAAAAAAATACTAAAGGTATATTAATGGTTATATTTTTTTCTGCAAGTATTTATCATGCAAATACAGTTTTGGTTGATCAAGCAGCATTGAAAGTAACAACACAATAAACATTTTTTATATAACTAATTAAATAAATTTAATTTTAATATAAAAAATAGTCATCTCGTCAATTATGTCCAGTTATTCGTGTAATTTTAATTCTTATTATATCTTTGGTATCATTTCTTTATTTATTTCGAGAAGATAAATTTTATTTATGTTTAATATTTTCTCGTCCATCATACACAAATTGGAATTTATCAACACTTCTTTGGGTTCTCTATTCAACATTTTGTATTATTAAGTAAATGTTTAACAATGTTTTATTTCTGAAAAAAATAGAAGATAAATTTTTTTTTCTGATTATTTTCAGAATGATGATCATGATATTAAAAGGTTTATTAATTTTATATCCATTAAGTAGTGATAAAGGAAAATATTGTTTGACGTTTCGTAAACGTGGATCCTATTTTTCATTATTAGAATATTTATCTCAATTTTATATAAGTCTATTAACAATTCGACCATGGCTAAGTTTTCTACTGTATAATAACAATCAAGGAAATATATTATTTTCATCGTTTCTTCTTTTTTTTTATTCAACGATTAAATTTTATAATTTGTATAAATCAACAGTTGAATTACGTCAATCAATTAATAAATCATTTCAAAATCTTCCTTTTCCACCAGTCCCAATAAATGAATTACGAGAAAATATGTGTCCAATATGTCAATCAGAATATCAAGATCCAATTATATTAACATGCAAAGTAAATAGAGAAAATTTATATTGAATTAAAAATTAAAAATAATTATTCTAGCATATATTTTGTGAAGAATGCGTTTCATCATGGCTTGATCGAAATGCATCATGTCCACTATGTCGATCAAAATTACCCATTGGACAAGCAAATTATCGAGATGCTTTCACTTCGGGATATCTTATTTGGTACTAAAACATTCTTTTTCTTGACTAACTCAATTTTATTAATAATATGGAAAATATTTCATTTTTTTATGCCGTCGAAAATGATCTAATGTTTTATTTGATGAGAAAAAAATATCTTGAAACGCTTTTTGATAAAATAAAACTTATTAAATTAATTAATCATTTTTTCGTTGTAATTTTGCTTTTTTCTTAAATCTTTCTTAATCACAATCAAAACAAAACAAAATAATAGAAATATTTATAATTCTAGTCAAATCATTTTAATCTGACATGAAAATCTATATCGTTCGCATCTTTTTATTCATTTAAATATATATTTGTATATTTAGTAAACATGTGAGATGGACAACGAAGAATAGATGAGATGGACAACAAAAAATAGATGAGAAAAGAAACAAGAGTTTGTTGATTTTTCAGACGATATATGAGTATGTATTTATTCGATTGTCTTCTTTAAACACATAATTTATAAATCACCATCGTTGTTCATCAAAGTTTTCAGTTCGTCAATCATCTCGCATTTTCTTTTATTTAAAGCCATATATCTTGTGTAGTCGACATTTGACATGTTATATAGCTTACTATTCGGTGCATGTTCAATCATTTGTTCCATTTTCAAGGTGATTTTCATAATATCAAACGCCAATTGGTGTTTCTACAAAAGAAAAATATGAAATAAAATACGAAACTGAAGAAATAAAAACGGTAGAATTGCCAGAATATACTTGTATTGATATGGCCATGACTCACAATAATATTTATAGAAGATATAGCAGATTAATGATTGATAAAGAAGAACGTCAATAATTTATTTGTGAGAATGTTATCTGTATATATATTCTCTGTTAACAATAACCGTCTATCACGCACATGGAACAATGACTCAATTTTGTATCAGACAAAATAGGCAGAAAATGAAAAGTTTGTTTTTCGTTTTTATTTATCTTCGAATCAAAAAACAATATGAATGAACGTACAGTTTGATGTAGAATCGAGAATAAACATTAAAATTAGTAGCTATAATATAGAGTCGCCACCATGGAAATGTTGTTTTTGGCGCTGAATGTCATAAAATCTTTTTTTTGAAAATTCGTTGACATGAATTTTCAATAGATAGGAGATCATTTTTGTGTACTCAAAAAAAAAAGTGAGTACACTATAGAATCGGTCAGTGTGTCCGTCCGTCCGTCCGTTTATTCGATAACTCATCAAAATTACATTCGATTGAGCTGAAATTTTGTGCACAGAATTGTCTTATCAATATCTAGGTCGAGTTCGAAGATGAGAAGGATCCGTCAAGAAATGGCTGAGTTATCGAAAAAATTGTCATTTTTGATCAGACCATCCCTGAGGGGGAGTACAGGGATTTTTCAAAAAAAATATTTTCTCAGAATTATTCACACCGTATATAAATCGACTCAGCTTTTGACGCTGATTCCGAATTTGATATTGGTTTTGAACTAAATCGTAGCTTTCTAACAAAACATCGCCTGAAAAGATCTCAAAATGCACAAAAACTGCATCCAGAAATCAAATTGTCTTGTTTCTCATGATAATTTTTGTGTTCAGCCATTCTAGAATGACTCATATGTCTCATGCACTTTTTGCAGTACACATAGCTCTCGGATGAAATCCGAAGTTTACGCATTTATTCTCACTAAGTTCGAAACGAAAACTGTTAACATTAGAAGTACCGATTTTGAATTAATTCATATTAAATTCAAAAGCTCTTCCAACTTAAATCTTTCCAAGTTTAATTTATTACAACTTAAACATTTCCTTCTATGAAAATTTTAATTTATTTCAAAATCAAATTGTTCTAAATTCATTTTTGGATTATTAAACTTTTCAAATGAAAACAGAAAAGCATTACTGACAAAACAAATGACTTCAAAAAAAGTAAGATCAGAAATAAACGGAATAATTCGTATTGAGTCGAAGATCTACCAATTAGAACAAAAACATTCCATATAAAAGTGTCGTGCTCATTTTCGATATTATTGTTAGTTATATTCTATTCAAGTTGCCTTATATTTGCTTTAACAGATATAAATTGATCATTCGTCATTACTTACTACTTGACGTTTCGTATTAATATGCATGTTGTTATAATCATTAATATCTATGTAAGCGTTGTTGTGTACAGGCATATCAATGTTTGAAAAATTCAAAACAAAAAAAATTGATAGTGAACTTGATTTTGTTAAACTATTAAATTCGATATATGATTTGAACTAATATAAAACCTATGATTCGTTTTATTCTATTATTTGTTCGTGTGTTGTTTCCGTAAGACGATTGTTTGTTTAATGTGTAGTATGTATCTGATATATATATATATACAGTGGTGTGCAAAAAAAATTGCCGCTGTCCTTACGCGTTTTCTCGAGTCATTTCTCTGAAGAATATGAACGGATTCTTCTGAAACTTTTATATGCAGTCAAGGATGTGCTATAGATTGCAGTGAGAGNTATATTTGTATACTCTGTTGTATGTATAGTTTATATATATATAAACTTTCAATATTCGTCGTGTTCACTAGGGTAACTTTATCAAATACTAACGGCAATTTTTTTTGCACACCACTGTATATAGATATAGATACTTATTCTTTTTTCGCTCTTGCCATGTGCAAATCGAGGCAAAATTTATTTATGAAATGTAGTCTTCTGTGTTAAATAGCTAATAGTCTAGACGACAGTCGAATATTTGAAAAAGAACGAAAATAGAATGATTCATGATGCAGTGAACTAACATATTTTGCTTAGATAGATAAAGAATGATGTTAGAAGAAATGAAATTCACAACGATATTAATTCTGTTTCTTTTAATCTCAAAGTTTTCGTTTCTTATTGAAATAAATTTATCAAAATAGAGCTTATAATGCATGTTACTTTCTTGGTCTATGAAAACTGTCTTCAAGCATTCATAGTACACTCGTAACGGGAATTCGTCATATAGAAAATTTACTAATTTCATATAGCACTTCTATGACAAATATGTTAGTAACATAGTGGTTTCATACTGAAGAATTAATTTCACTAGTGAATTTTTAATGTCATAAAAGAATCTAATCATTACATTCTTTTATTTTATGGTATCTGACTCGTTAATTCTATGAAATTCCTTACCTTTTGTGAGGTAACAAGCAATGAACAGCGTTTTCTTAGAAAGTAAGGATAAATTAAATTAATTTTTGTTTTCAAATAGTAAATTCCTGTTATCGTTGTTTTCTGTTACATGCATTAAAATAATGCCATCCATATTTTTCTTTTTCTTACATTCCCAACTTTGAATCACATTTAACGTAGAATCGACTGCTCATCTAGTTATCATCCTATTCGATAGTTTTAAAATCGATTCATTATATTATCCTTTTTTTAATTTAATTTTTTGGGCATTGAAGTAAGCCAATGCTGCTCGATTTAAGACTTCAATGATTTTAATGACCAAAAGAAATGAGATTGATGACTTTTCACATATTCTTAAAATTTTAGCTCTAAATATTGAGTAAACATTTTTTTAATTTCAGGATGCAAACCTCTTATCATATTGCATACTTTAATTATGCTTATGAGATGTTGATGTACGAGTCTCGATTTTCAGTTTTAACTAAATATTTGTCATTTAGAAACTTTCAGGTCACTTGTGTGCACTCTAGTTTTCATGAAATTTCTCAAAGTTCGAATAGGTAGCCGTTTTCAATTCATGCTTCCATTACAAAACATCAGAAAAAAATTGTTGCTCTATGAAGTTCTTACTAACCATAATCAAATTGAAAATAATAAGATATCAAAAAGGTTTTAATAGGAACTCGACAATGAAAAGTGTACAGTTTAGATCATCTTATTTTTCTGTCGTAAACAGTTTTCTTTTTCAAATAAGGATGCTTTGTAGCTGTAGTAAATAATGATTTCATATAAAAATAGATAAGGGGTGTCAATAATAAAGAAATTATATCAATACTAAAAAGAGTCATTCGAAGGATATCATGGTTTTTGTTTAATACTATTGAGCATAAGTTCCTAGGCGAAACATTTTGAGAAAAGGCTGCAACTTTTTAAATGTTTGCATTCATGTGCCCCATGTGGCATATTTCAATTGAATGAAAAAGTTCTCAAGATGAAAGATTATTCTAATTATCAATTATTTTGATATTACCTCGATTATTGCACATCTCATTAATTATAACAAAAATGTAATGACTCTTTGATTTTACACATCTTTCTTGTTGAAATATACAAAATCCATAAGTGTAGCAATGCAAAATCTAATAAATGGATTTTAATAAAATTACCAATAGATTATATAAGATCATATTAAAGTCACTAATCAATTTTTATAATCAATCTTTTCCGTAGAATGATATCGAGCTGAATTGCATGAGCTATAAATGTCATTCGTAAAAATAAGATTTCAACATCGATATCTCATATTTTTGACAATGGAAATAAAGGAATATAAATTAACAAACCATTTATTTTCTATGAAAAAAACACCAACCAATAAAATGTATGTCAGTTGTCATTTATTAGAACTATGGGAAAGAACTTGCACAATATTTATAGTAACATTCATGTTTCTCTGCTATACATTCAAGACCAAAAACGACGATACTACAGAAAATTAATCAAAAAATCATCGATGTCATTTATATCAAAATCAAGATTATGAAGAGTCTTCGTTAAAACATTCAAATCATCTTGTTAAATCTTCAAACAAGCTTTCTAATGAGAATTTCAGTTATGAGAAAGTTTGATTATTATTCAGTGTTTAAACGCGTTTTTCCAAAACTTTGTCTGCTTGGGTGGTGGAGACCGAAAAATCCTTCCCATTTCAGGCTCTTATACTAGCAGTTTTTGGAACAATTGTAATATTCAGTTTGATACACATAAAAAATTTAGAGCGCAATAGATATAACCAGATGATGGATTGCATCACTTTCCTATACTATGTTGAAATTTTCAACATTTTATTTTTTTTGTCAACATTTTGAGTACCTCGCCGATTATAGATTGATTTCATAAGAAAGAGATTTTTCAAAATCTCAAAATGATTCTCTCAGTTGAAAAACTACGTTCCAAAAGCAAGACTTTGTTATTGAATAGTCTAAGATAATTTGGAAAATAAATTTCGTTTATTTCTTGTTTATAACGGTTAAATATTCAATCACTATATTCTTTATTCGATTCTTTTAAAATGTGTGACGAATAATAGCGGCATCTTGATAAGAGAATAAATGAATGGGCTATTTACATAAGAAGAAGAGACTGATGAAGATCGTCTACAGAATAGATACATTAGAAACATTTTTCATTAGACAAATGTCGAAAGATAAATTATTGAACAAAGAAAATGAAAAAAGTTTATCATCATTTAGTAAACGTCTTCAATCATTAAGTGATTCATTTTATTCGACAATTCTCGAAGATTCCAACAATAAGAAAATGCAAATAAAAAATGCAAAACAATTAGAAGATTTTCAAACATCTCAATATGAAGATTTTACATTTGATCAATGTTCAACTAGTCAATTAACATCACATGATGATTTCAGTTTTACTTTTCATTCAAATGATCAAGCAAAATCCGAAAAATCTAAAAACTATCAAGTACGGATAAACTCTTTTCGTTGCGTTTCACTTCATTGATTTTCTTTTGATTAGAAACGACAAAACAATCATTCATCAACTCCATATTCAATTCGTCAAGAAAATTCTCTTAAGAAGCACCAAGATGAAACCATTGTTGTTGAAGAAAATCGTCAACAGCAAGCTATTATTGTTGGCTATTATCCAGTTATTAGTTATCAACCAATTTGTTTTCCACCAACGATTTATTTATCAGAACAACAGATTGAAAGACAATTAAATAAAAAATAGTTTATTCACACGAACAAATACAAGCTTTTCTTTAATTTGAATAAATTTTCAATAATTTATCTCAGATTTTTCTTTTAAATTATAGAAAATAATCATCATTGACGCAAACGAGATCATAATAGACATTAAGTTTAATAGAAGTTCGATAAAAACACGTATGATCATCAACATTTTCTTCAAATATAACATTCATAACGACGAGAAGAAAACAAGTTTTAACTTTTATTAATGTCAAAAATTTGTCGAAAGGCTTTAACATATTTCAGCTAGTTTCACTATAGATGCGACGACTATGAAACAACTATGAAGATTTCTTGCAAGTCATTTTATCTAATTATTAACAACTTCTAAACTATATGTTGACTACTATTATTTTGTTTTCAACAATAATATTATTTCTGTAGAATTGAACATGTTGCTTTATTTTCTGTATTAGATATAATTAGAAGATTATTGGCAATCGTACGAAACAGTAACATGTTTACGACATCTCTATGACATAAGTTAGAATAGAATGTTCTAGGATTTAATCTGGTGCTACAAAAATATATATCTGACTTTTTTATTCAATAAAATAAAACAGAAATATTGTTTTAGGTGTTGAAAACGGATCATTTATACAAAAATACTTTGCATTTCTCAATGGTTCAATTAACAAAAACGAATTTATCTTGAACGATCTGTCACTTTTTTAAACTAAGAAAGGTTTTATAAATCATAGACAACTATTTGGTTTGGTTTGGTTTCATGAATAAATCTTAATATAGGTTGCGAAAGTTTGTCTTTTTTTTACTTTAACAAATAATTTTAGGTACATTTCGATTGTCTTATCCTTTTTATGTTGAAATCCTCTGTAACCCCTTGATAAAGATCACAGACGTAACTAATGAAAATGCCAGGTGCCACAATAATTAGTTATGGCAGGATGATAGCAATGAAAATTAAATGGTATTGAATATGGATGAAGATCTAATAGTTTACTCGATGAACAAGAAATAGATGACACGAGTTAGAGTGATTGTAAGGAACAATCAAGTTGAAAGAAGGTAATATGTAATTAATCAAAAAGATGATTCTATTTGATAGAGAAGAAAAATAGAAGTAGAAGAGATACGCTCGAATGATGAACGAAAGGTATTGAAAGAATGAGTGTAGGTATACGTATCTTGGAGAAGAGAGATACATGAAGAAGCTTGAAAAAAAAAGAGAAGAACAACTATTATATTCAATAAACAATATTAGGCAGGAAAACAAAACAAGAGAAAAAGATAGGGAAGCTAGAAATAGAAACAATAAAAAAATGAACATTCGAAAAATACAGATAGTAACCTATGTAAATTGTCTTTTTTCCTAATACACAGTGGATAAGTTAACAACTAATTAACAAAAGTGAAAGACGAAGTTCTCGTATGAATGTAAATATTTCCTATAATTAGGTATGAGAATGGGAAACTCCTAATCATCTCAACAGAGAATTGAGTACATGTGAAAGATAAGCAGCCCCACATTCTCAAGATATTCTTTTAGCTCTCTATCCGAATTGTTTTCGACGTTGAAATGCAGGATCTTAAGTATCTGTTCTACGTGTTTTAGTTAAAATATACGAGGGTGTGAAGGTACACTCGTCACTGATGTTATCTTGGTGCTTTCTTACAAACGAAAGATTGTAGCTGCCGATAAAACGTACAATGGAAAATGAATCAAAAAGATAGTTAGTTTGCTAGGATATGTTACTAGTCAGTCAATAATTATCAAAGTTTCCATTAATTTCTCAGTTCTGATAGATCTATGAAAGTGAAAAGTGAAGTCAAAGCCATCGTTAACTGATTTTTCTAAATTTATATTGCTTGATCATCATTTAGTAATCAATAGTTTGATATTAGCGTCGTTGTTGAATAATTCTATTTTGAATGAATTTATTATTATTGAACAATGTTGAGTTTCGATTATAATGCCGTTCTCTTATTTACGATTTTTAGATGTAATCAAATGATTTAAAACCAATGAAATTTACTGTATTTTAGACAAAGAAACTGTGATTGACCTCAAAAAAAGCGAACTAAATTGTTAACTATATTCCGTTATTTCGGCAGTGTAACTTGTTATTCAACAATATTCATTAAATGACATAGACATTATCAACTCACTTTCCTGCTGAAATTCATTTTTGCTCTTACTTTTTTTCTTGTTTTCTATTGCTGCAAATCAATATGCTTTAGTTTTTATTAATATAAATTTTTTAGAGAATATATCTTTGCTCACAGATATAGTTACAAGAAAGAAATTATTCTTTAGTTCGTATGGAAAGAATTGCTTCTATTTTTGATATTCACACCTGCAGAAAAATCAATCTTCTATAACATGTTTAACTTTCTGCAAAGCATTGAATATATATGGAACGAAAATATTGACCGAATAAACAAAACTAGAATTCCATTCGATAAAATACAATTCTAAGAATAGTTTAGATCTCTGTGGTGCTTCGTTTACTTGTATGCAAAAATAGTTTTTCAATCAACATGATATTTAGTAATTATATGCTAATCGATAAAAACGCGTAAAATGATTTTTACTGAATTGTATAACAAAAGTGAGAAAATTTTAATTATTCTATTCAAAGCTAAACGTGGTTTATTTCAGTTACACTACTGATAATATGACATGTCAAAGTGTTATATTTAAAAATATCCCGAGTTTAGAAGTAAAAATTCTGCACAAAGCAAATTTCAATTTATCTGAGATATTTTTAAATAGAATTTTAATATCAGTCAATCTAGAATTTTTCTTATCATTAAATAGCTGTATTCTTTTTTTTAATAGTTGGATTCGAATCAATTGACGTATGATGTCATTCAGACAAAGGGAACGACTTCATTGATAGTTGTTCGACTACAAAACTATTCAATGACTTTGTGGATTTTTAATTTTCATCAAAATTCTTGATTGATGTCGTCTGTTAGTTATTAATAAATGAAAGAATATTATTGAAATATTCTAACAAATGTGAATGTAAATTGTATACTTTTTCTTCGTTATCATTTAACAAAGTTACATCTAATGGAATGTATCGGCATAAAAGTCATTTAATATCTTAATAGAAGAACTTAATTATAATTGTATCAATTATTAGAGTCATATTTCATTTATTATAACTTTATGCTTTAATAGCAGCAGTATCTATATCATATTCATGTTTTTAATTGTAACATTGAAATTGAATTTATTCCTATTTAGAATATAGAAATTGATAATTATGTAATACATCAGATTAGTTCTACAATTCAGTTTAATTTAAGATACCATCATGTTATAAATCAAAGAGTGTTCTCAAAATTTATTCCAAACTGTGATTTTAATTACTCAACATCAAAAAATTGAAAAGCAATTAGTTGTTGAGATTGAGAGAAATCATTTGAATATTTCAATTGAACAATTGATTATTGAATTATCAACACTAAAAGAAAAGCTTTTCGTAATATGTTCTCATTGATTTCTTTTGGCATCTTCAATATATATTTAATAATTGATGAAATTCGAAATAATATGTTCTTTCTCTTTATTTACTGAAAAGTAAGTAAAATAAAATTAGAAAGATTCATCAATCAAATTTTTAATATGAACATTTATTTTCGAATGTTTCATCATTTAGGATGATGAATTTGTCGAAGAAGAAAGTGTAAATGCATAGAATATATTTGGATCAGTTCTTATCCATTGAGGATTATTTAACATGAATTGATCTGTTAATGAATTCGATGAAAGAGTTTTCGCATGAGCATAACTTGTTTCTGTTGATGATAAATTGTCCATTAATTGAAGATAAAGTTTAAATAAAGAACACTTTGCTAATGGACTTGCATATTTTTGTTTGTGCCGATTTTTTTTCGTTAATCCTAATAAATATCCATCAACTGTTATTGATGAAGATGATAAAGAAAGATTGAACCACCATGCAATTGACATTGAACAAGGACGAATTCTTTCTAATGATGGACCATAAGAAAATTGATTATTTACACAAATAACATCTATATTTTTAAATATTGACGATAGATCTTTGTCTGTTTGTATAATTAGACCAGTTAATTTTATTGATGATATTATTAATTGATTTAAAAGATTTCCTGCAAGACCTATTTAAAGAATTTTTCTTTATTGATAGAGATAAAAAAAAACCTAGAAGAAATAAACCTTGATAAATCCATCGATTAATTTTATTTGTACATGAAAGACTTGTTGTTGCATAACCTTTTCCTGGTTTTAAATAAAGTTCTTCTCCAATTGAATTTAAATTTTTATGTTCAAGTTTTGGTCTTTTTATTGGATCTGATAAATATGCTGCTGCACCACAAGGTGCATAGGAAACAAATAAATAGAGACGAAGTGATTTATTCAAATAAAATTTATTTTTATCTTGTTTAATTAAAATTGAATTATGTTCATTAAGAATTTCTTCATAAAATAATCTCATTAAAGCTCTTCTTGCAATAACTTCAGCGTGCGAATCATGTAATAAACAACCTTCTGTTCCACGTTCTTGTTTATCACCGCCTAAACATTTTGTACCTGTACCTATTGAAAGAATTTCAATTTGATTATTGTCATTAACAGATACAAAAGCTGCTAAATGAGTCCATTCATTTGATGAAGGTTTTCCATGAGATAATAACTGATCAAATTTATTATAACACTTTACAGCTATTGCTTCACCTAAATCATTTATTTCTTCTAATGATCTTTTCATTTATTCTTGTAATCATTCACGATTTATTTCTACAATCAAATTTCATAAGCTTTCTTTTTTGTTCTAACAATTTATAGTTAATTTTTGAAAATTTAAGAAAAATCAGATTCTTTACTTCTCTTTACTATGATTGATAAATTTATTATTTGTTAAACTCTCTGACGAATCATAGCCTATTCAAATCAAAGATGCCGACGGTGGTGCGACAGCTTTTGTATGAGAGAGTTTGAAAAATGTTTGCATTTGCGCAAACTCTCATTACAACATTGGAAAACAAACCACTTCTTTTAAATATCAGATATAGATAGATATTCTGTTCTTGTTTCCACTAATTAATTGAACTTGTGAGTTCTTTTTTTTGTATTGCGTCATTTACTATTCCTTTTTTGAATCAAGAGAAGAGAAAAATATCAATATTAATCCAATTGAAAAATAATCGTCATTCAATGCTCATGTTAATTACAAATGGCATAAAGTAAAATCAATTAAAAAAATGATTAAAATTACGATCAATAGTACTGAATCGAGGTTTTTTAAGTATCCTGGTGAGAATACGTGGGTCAAGATTTCTGCACTTACCTGAATTACAACAGAAATTCAGGAAGGTGATGTAATCAAGATTTTAAACTTCGGAGAAGGGAATGCTCAATGTTAGTAAATTAAGAATTTTTGCCTCAACCACACCCTATACCTATGCCAAATATCTTCATTTAATTCAGAATAATTGACTATACTACAACGGAGTTATGATTGATATTATATCAACTTCTATAGATATAATTGTTAATATTTCTGTTCTAACTAAAGAGAAGTATTTAAAAATGACATTTAGAAATATTTATAGTCAACTGGTGTATTAGTCATTTTATTTGTCATTAGACCATGATAATTTTTCGATTCTTAATAGATTTATTTTAAATTTTAAGTTTTTCGTAATGAAGAATAAGATGAATTTGCCCATGAGATTTTTTTCCATGTTTCTCTTCAATATCAAACCAATTATCAATATGACCTGCCAAGAAAATAGACGTAAAAAATTGAAACAAAATAAAAACTAAAAACCTTTATCATATAAATGATGTAAATCAATAATAACTGAACCTATTTTCTCATCTTTTATTGCGTCTTCATCGTAAATATCAAGATGAAGGGTATTTTGTCCATGTAAATGATTACTAAGTAATAAAACATAATTGAGTAAAAAAATAAAAATAAAAATGAAAATAAAACATACAAAACAAATGATTCATTCCAAATTGGATTATTTGAATCTTGTTTTACTTTTGTTTTTTGTTTTGAACTTTTTTCATCAAGGTAAATTTGAATAAACGCGTCGTTTTCACTAAGTGTATCTTTTTGTGTTAAATTTTTTGCTTCAACCACAGTTACTTGCAATTGAGCCATTCTTATATCTAAATTATTTATTCAAATTCTTTAGATTTTATTCACTCATAAACATTTGAAGGAAAACAAATGAAGAAATTTCTCTTTGTTGACAAAAGAAAAAAGAAAAAAAAATAGATTTTGACAAGATTAATAAGCACAGAAAGAAAAAAAACTTTCGCGATTCCATCGAGGGCGCGAGTAGGCGTAGTGTATGCTTGCTTCCATGACAGACTCATAGAGAGTTTTTTATTGAGAAATTTTCAGTTAAATTTTTGAATATCTCAGTCAAATAGCGGAATTAGGAAATAAATTAAGTTCAAATATTTAAATTATTGCATTCGATCTTATTCTGTTGGGAAAGCTTTCACATTTTGCTTGATCTCTTTAACATAATATATGTTAATTTTCATTATATCTTTCTCTAGAAATTCAATGAAAACTATGTAGAAATTATTTAATTTATGTCTTGTGACCTCAAATATTGAGAAATAAGTTTTTGAGTTTGTTACAATAATAAATTTGAAGTCAACACATTTCATTCATAAAGAATCAGACAACATAATTCGTAGAAAACAACGGTCAGTCGACTAGATTTTCGGTGGTAATTCTAAATAAGTCATCAATCCTAACCATGTTTTTCTCACAGAAATTTAGTGAAAAAAAGCTATAGAAATGATGTCTCAAGAATAGTCTTCTAGGAAGTAGAAAAGACTATTATTGACGTTTGAAAACTATGTGATTTTCTACACTATGTATAAAAAAAAGCGTTATCAATTGATATAGGAAAAGTTCAATAAGCCGCTGATAATGGTACGGTTCATCAGTTGACAAATGACAAATAGAAACCAATGGTCAGCTAAGGTACCACTGATGACTAGTGACTGAACTCCAATGAAGTGATGAATATGAGACTGCAATAAGCTTTTTCCCAAAAATATATTCTGTAATTTTACACAAAAAACATGCAATTATGTAGTTAGACATTATAGTATATTTTTTGCTAGAAATAGTATGTTAAAAGTGCATTCTTTGATTAAAAATAAATTAATGCCAAATAAACTTTCACTCCTAATAAAATATAAGTGTTGTTCATGTCACTATTTATTGAATCATACTAGCTGTTTTGAAATTAATAGAACATCCTTTTTTCTTTCGATGAGAATTCTTATTCTATTTCGACATTCAATAAATCACTTTTTTTAAATCAAATTTAGTCAGTTTATCAATCACTTTTTGTCATCATTAATCAATAAAGATAAAATACCCATTCGATCATCACCGCATCGAGACTCATTTTATTTGAACCTTTTACTAGAAATGTAAATAGTATTTTTAGTAGCAAGAAGAATTTCTATAATAGAAAAGTCAAAAAATTCATAGGACTATATTTCTTCTTTGTAAAACTAGCTATATATACTTCAGATAAACAATCTACTTCTGATGAATTCGTATTGTTTTTCAAAATATGATATAACAAATAATGACATCTATTGACAAAGATTTCCCCTATATGTATATTTTTCCCTTGTTCGTACCTCTCTGATACTGATAGAACTTATATTGTATAAACTATGGATCGAGTTTTCTCTTGATGTTCAGTTTCGTTTAAACTATATTGAAGAAAATCTTCGAAAGAATTGAAATATAAGATAAATAAATCTAATTATGTTTGTCTTACCGCATTCTATTCGACATTTATTTAAAACTATCAATATACAAGTAAATTCAAAACAATTAACTCTTCAAAGTAAATTCGAAAATTGAAAACGAAAAGCTTTTAGGAATAAAAATTTGATTTCAATCTAGGCTTCTCATTTGTCAGATATAAAACTAAATTAAATTTGATACGATCAACGAATGAATTCAATATTAATCATGATGATAATTATCAATCAAATGAAAATTCACAAGATTTGGGTTCATTTAAACATTTTAATATAAGCGAAGCAACACAAAAAAGATTAAAAGGTATTTATTATTTATTAATATATTCAATTATTAGTAAAAAGAAATCAAATCTCCAGATAATTTGTCGATTTTTTTCCCTAAACAGTTTGAATAGATTTGACAAAGTTCGCAATCCTTTGAGATGATCCATAAAAGAATATAATATATTGAGAGAATTTCCAAAGCTAATCTCATTCATTTTAATATTAGAAGAAAAACTATCGAGATTTCTCTTTCCAATTTATAGAAAAGAAAAAACTACAAATTGGATTTTTCTTTTAGAAAATAAAATTTTTGTTTTTCCATTTAAATGAATAGTTCGTAATGTTGAATGTTTATTTCCTGTACAATATCGTTCATACAATGATATTTCATCTGGAAAAGATTGTATTGTTCAAGCACGTAAGTCTTTTGGTTTAGTTTTTGATTACACAAAAATGAATTCTTTTTTTAATGAAAAAATAACAGATACTGGAACAGGTAAAACATTGGCATTTAGTCTTCCAATAGTTGAACGCCTTCAAAGTGAAGTATCAAATATTAATGGTCGTTATCCACGTTGTTTAGTATTGGAGCCAACACGTGAACTAGCGAAACAAGTTACAAATGATTTTCTTTCAATAGCATCTCGTTTATTATCAATATCAACAATTTATGGTGGAAAAGAATATTCTCAACAAGAATTATCGTTAAAAAGAGGTTCAGATGTTGTCATCGGAACACCAGGAAGAATTAAAGATTTTATTAATAGAAAGATTTTAATTCTTAATCAATGTCAAATTATTGTTTTAGACGAAGTTGATAGAATTCTTGATATGGGTTTTCAAGTTAGTTTATCGTTTTATTTTATATTTCGATTTTTATGCCATTCTTATTTTTTAAGGACGATGTGGATTTTATTATTAAAAATATTTATGGAAAAGAAAAAAAAAGTCAAATGATTGTTTTTTCAGCCACAATTCCATTGTGGTTAAAAAAGAATCTTTCAAATTATATGTCAAAAACAAATTTATCATTTATCAATTTAATTGATGATCAACAGGAAAAAACAGCTAATAATATTGAACACTTATCTTTTAAATTAAATCAGATCGAAAAACGATCTGAAATTATTTTGAAACTTTTTAAAAAATATTCAAAAGATGTCAATAAAAGTCAAGCAATTATTTTTTGTCAAACAAAACAAGAATGTGATTTCCTAGGAAAATCTTATTTCAACAGCAACATTTCATCTGATGTTCTTCATGGAAATCTTTCGCAAAGAAAACGAGAATATGTTTTAACAGTAAAGTTTGCTTTTTTTATCAAAAATTTTATTCTTTATTTTAATTGAATAGAACTTTCGTCAAGGTAGAATTCGTTTATTAATAACAACAGATTTGTCAGCACGCGGTCTTGATATTCCAGATGTTGATCTTGTTATTTTAACATCACCACCGCAGGTTAATTTAATTTAATTTATTTCTTTATTTCTTTAATTAATACGTAATTAGGATTGGGAATCATATGTTCATCGGTCTGGTAGAACGGGAAGAGCTGGAAAAAATGGGAAAGCAATTACAATATTTAATCAACAACAAATGAAACAATTAAAAATTATTCAAACAAATACGGTATTCATAATCTTTCTTTAGTTTAGAATAAAAGAATGAAGTTATTTTTTCTTATTTTTAGAATATGGAATTTATTAATATTCATCCGAATTCATTAGATTGATTTTAAGAGAAAAGAAAAAAAATTATTTTTTTAATAAAAGTTTTGTTATAAAGATCAATCAATATTTCAAGAATATCTTCTATGCATTATTATTCTATACTTTAATTAATTAATGCATTGTGGAAGAAGAAATTTTGCTTTCTAGAGGGATAAATATCATTAATAAAATTAAATGATCTTTTTGTTTTAGTGAATTACTTGAAGTTTATTTCAAAATCCTTTAAGATATTTAAACGAGAAAGTAAACAAAAACAATTCAATTTCATAATAGTAATTGTTTGTTTATCTCTGAATTTCATTAAAAAAAGAAACAATTTCTTTTCATATTATTTTATTAATAGAATTAAACATGAAAGAAAAGAATTATTATCTGAATTTTTAATTGTCAATTAAAATAAAATCTTTTTTATTTATTTTTAATACGGCGAATGATTATAATTGTAATGGTTGATAATCTAGTATAAGATGAATTTCTCCATTAGATGAAACACCAAATCTCGATGGAAGATTATACCAATTGTCGATGTGTTCTAAAGAGTAAAAAATGAAATTAACATTTATTTTTGTCAATGAACAAGTTTAATAACTGTTTTCGTATAAGTCTTGTAAATTGATTTTTAATGAACCAATTTTATCATTAAATAATAAATCTTTATCATAAACATCAATATGAAGAAAATTTTGTCCTTTCAAATGATTACTAAACAAATAAAGAAAATTTATTTAAAGAAAATAAAAGAAATGAAAAATTTTTACAAAACAAAAATTTCACTCCAATATGGATTTTTTGTATTAGATTTAACTTTTGTTTTTTGTGTTTGATGTTTATCATCCAGATAAATTCGAACGAAAGGATCACTTTCACTAAAGAAATCTTTTTTTTTTAAATTTCGTCCTTCAACAACAGTCACTTGTAATTGAGCCATTAAATATTCGAAATATTAAAAAATTATTTTATATTTACCTGTGCAAACAAAATGATTAACCAAGAAAGAAAAAAAGATTCATTGATCAACGTCAATATAAATAGAGACACAAAAACACACATACACACAGAGGAAACACGTGATTTGTTATCAAACAGGAGAAAATGTGAGATTTCATCTGTATAACCAAAATTAATTTTACAAGTTGTGATGAGATTTTCAAAATAGAATCAATTCAAATTTAAAATTTGTTTATCGAAATTCTCGAATTGAATATAAATACAAATTCGACTGGTTATTTTTAATCTTTAAATAAAAATCTGATCAATTCAGATCTTTAAAAGACATTATTTCAATGATTGGAGGAGATTCTTGTATTTTTAAATCTATATGCCAGCGATAAAAGTAGTTCTCACTCTTTCAACTGAATTCTTTTACCGATTCTTTGTAAAAAATTCATTTAAAAATTTTAGTAAAAGCATTTCCATGTAGTTAATTTCACTTAGATGAACAATATTTTTAATATTGAAGTAATATTTTAGTAGTTGATCAAAGGAACTTTTTATCTTTCATGATCAAATTCTAACAATAACAAGAGTTTTTTCATGTTTTCGTTTCTCAACATCGGAATGAAATGAAGTCACCGATCAGGCTGTAATGTTCACAAGTTGTACCAATCGAATTTCGCTGTATGCGTTGAAATCGCACTCAATTTGACGCTTCAATGTCTACTTTAGGATTGACAAATGAATAGTAAATTGCTATTCAAAGAATGAAATATTCATTTCAAATAGAATAGGAATTTCTTATTGAAAAGCTTTTCTTATCAATAAAGTCTAATCTCATACAAAAAATTTATTTATTAGTTAAGTTTTTTTTCTGTTTTAGTCTTTGATGTTAAATAAAGGGAAACGAATTCTTTTTATTCTTTTTGAATGTTTGTAATTTGCCAATTTTAAAAAGGTAAAATATGGAATAATGGATGAATAAAGTCAAAAACCGATTTCATAGGATGATTCAAACAAATCATAACAAAGATTTTCTTTTATCATTTGTTTTTTTCATAAATATTATATTAAAATTCTTTTAAAACACAAGTAAGTTACTCAAATAACAATACTTTTTTCCTTTTGATTTTCTTTTCAATAAATATAAAAAACAAGATTTCTATTCGTTTTCTAATCGAATTAATTTGAACGATAGAAATTTCTTTTATTGATTTTAGTATAGATTAATTTATTTAATTGAAAATATTCTTATAAAAAAATATTAAAAATAAGATTGTTAATAAAATATTGGATCGAGCTAAAAAAAAAGAAAACGAAACGAAGGATAATTTTAAAGAAAAAAAATGTAATAAAATTAATTTGATTTACTTTTAATTGATGAAGAATTTTCTCTAGTTGATGACTTGATAAAAACAAAAATCGATAAAAAATAAGATGAAAAACATTTTTATCAATAGACTTACAAGAAAATTAGTTGATGTTGTTATAATAGTAGAATTTCTTAATAATGTTGTTGATCGTTCAGTTAAAATTAATGTAGAATTTTCAGTATGAAAATTAGTTGTTGAACTGGTTCGATCTATTGCATTTGTTGAACTTGTTTGGCTTGTAGATGGTAATATTGTTGAACTTGTTGAAAATATATTTTCACTTGTTGTGATTATTGTTGAGCTTTCTGTTTGAATCGTTGTTGACGTCTGAATATAAATATAAATATAAATCGTTAATTAATTAATTAAATATTATTTTATGTAGATTGATTTTATCATCCATCGCCTTTTTTATTTAAATAAAACTAAAAAGATGATCATGTTGAAGTTTCTTAGATTAAGATCAAACAAAAGAAAATCAATGATAATCATATGAATTAATTATTAATTTTTATTATTTGAATAAAAATACTTAATTACAAAAGTTTGACTTGTAGTTGAAGTTGTAACAGGCATAGGTTCTTAAAGAATTCAATTTAAATTAATAAAAACGAAATCGTTTATTTTTCAATTTAACATACCACATTGAAGATCAATTATTGTTATCTCATCAATCGCTACATAGAATGGATTTGAATCAGTTGATAATTGTCGTTCAAATAGAAAATGTATCTTGAAAATAAATACAAAACTATGTTCTATTCTATATAAAAAAAAAGAAAACTTGAAGATTAATTACTGTTGGATTTTCGTTTTCCAGATGAAAATTATGTCTAATTTCATACCATCTATTTTCAAAACGAGATGAAACTGTAAGAATTGTTTCATTTTGATTTGTTTGATTATCTTGAATAATAATATGAATAGTTCCATTCGAATAATTATTTGATAAATAATAATAAAATCTAATGCAATGTTGACCATATGATAAAGCAAGGGATAAATCAAGTGTGTATGAACGATATCCAGTGTCTCCTACTTCAAATTTTTCATATCCATATTCACCTGAATTAAATATTTAAATTAATTTCTTTTTTAGAAAAAAGAAAGAATTATTTATTTATTAAATAAACCTTCGCTACAATTGATTCTTGGACCAGTTTCATTGAATGTTGGACATGTTGATGGTAAATTAGGATCTTCTTTTTGACAAAAGAACATGTCAAATGAATTTAATTTAAAAGGAAAAAAACATTCTCCTATATGATTTGAAGTTTCTATTAAAAGCAAAATTAAAATAGATTTAATAAATAAATATTTTCTTTTTACGAATAGCAGTAACATCAGAAGCTGGTAGTTGTGGTTCATTACTTGTTTCATTTAATAGAACATATGAAGATCTTGCCAAGCCCAAAATACATGATTGTCCATAATCAAAATCGCATTCAAATATTTGTTGACTATTGACTGACAAAATTGAAACGAATAACAATCGAATCAATATCATTATTTCAAATGAATAAAATTCTATTCGTTTTCTAAATGTAGATTTTACCTGTCGAAATAAATCTGTATCAATTAAACCATAAATATCTTGAAATATATTTTAGAACATTTTATAAGATCAATAAAATGATCCTTTTTTGTTTTATTCTTTAGATGTATAGATTAATTTTTCAACGATGTTTAACAATAAAAACAGGTCAAAGAGGATGGCGTCGTTATGTTGATCGTTTAAAAGAACGCCCGGCATCTCATATAACTGCATTTGCTATTCTTCATGAATTAACAGCTGTTATACCATTTCCATTAATTTATTTTCCATTAAAATGGTCATATGTTGGAAAATATCTTCCTATTCCAATTGAATATATTCAAGGTTAAATTATTTATTTGAATAATAGAATCATTTATTATTTTTATCTTAGTTTTTAATTTTAATTTTAGAAGGAAATAAAAAAATAAACCGTATTCGAACACGATATGGCTTTAAACCATTAGATGAATCATCATTAGTTTTAGTTAATCTTTCAATGACATATGCAATTGTTAAACTTATTCTTCCATTACGTATTGGTTTAAGTGTAATGTTAACACCATGGTTAGCTTCAATTATAACTCGTTTATTATCTTTGTTGAAACGTGTGAAGATGAAATTTTTTTCATAAAAATGCAAGCTTTTTGAAATTTATTAACAAGAATGTTATTTTTTTAGAATAATGATTGAAAAATGATTTTTTCGATGGAAATGAGTCAATTTCTATTTAACTATTGCAATAATATCATTAAGATTTCGAGTTTTTTCGTTGATATCTTTTCAAAGCTATGGATTAATATTAATTAAACAATTCTATTCATAATCAAATGATTATTCTGTCCTAATAATTAGAAGATCTTTTGTTTTATGCAAAAAAATTGTTTCACAGTGAACTGATTTTTTTAAATTAGAATATTTGCATAATTGTATAAATAAATGTATTCGAAGATCAAACAGATATACATACATTAGCAGGCGAAAGTCTTCACCCACATGTACTTTTACTAAGAATAATGATGATGATAAGAGGAAAACTTTATTATTATTATTATATATGTGTTTACAGTCTGTCCTAATCATTAATGCAATATAAAATCTCGATAACTTTCGACGACTTCAGAATTTTCTTTTCTGCATACTACGTATGTGGATGTTTAATAGCCGATGTCGGTGAAAGAGTTTTTCATTTGCACTTTATTGCTGAAGTCGAAGATAAATAAGTTGGAAACTTTTTCGTTCTTAACTAAGTCTTGAGTGTCTACGACATATTTTCGATGTGTGTAAAATTGGAGTGCGATTGATGATTAATCGATTTTTCTTTTCAGCTGATTGCAAGTTTCGTTATATGTTTGAAATCATTGTTTGAGAAACAGTCCCAAATATAAGAACGATTTTCTTCTTCTCTAGCAATCTTCAAACCAGTTCTTTCATATAATGAAAATCGATTGTAGTTTCGCCAGAAAAAAAAACAGTTGCTCAGCAAGTGAGACTATTCAATCATTATGTTTCGACGTAATTGCACTTGGTTGGCCTGATTAGATTGTATTTATCTTTAGAACCAATATTTTATCGTCTTAATACTACAGAGATCTGAAATGGGAGGGAGAGCAAGTAAGATTCCAGGTTATGATTGTAGCACGTTACAGTCACAGCAATTTGCAGATGTTTTTACTGTGGCAAAAATGTTTAGCTACCAATTTGAATTCGAATCATTATTGTATAACTAGGATTCTTACTCAAATTGACATGGATAATTCGAATTTCTCGTGAATCACACCCAAATTCTCACCCATCTGCAGTATGTGAAATAGAAGCCTTCTATTGAACGATTCCTAACAACTCAATAGAATCAAAATTGGATATATACAGATTTTTGTTTTGAACCAGATACAGTATTCATTAACAGATAATATCAAAATCTGACGGCCTACACAGTATTGTTCTTGTCTGTTTAGCAACCATCGTACCGGCAAGTTATGGTAACATTGTAGACAAAACAAAAACAAGAATTATCCTTTCTAAAAAGTCTAAATGAACGCTTAGAAAACCGAAAAATATTCAATGTTTACCAATCTTTTTTTGGTTTGTATTATAGAAAAAGAAAAAGAAGATTTATTATAATCACCGTAATTCATAATTGACATAAATGTCGTATTTCAATAAGAAGCAAAAAAAAGGATATGAGAAGGAGAAAAAGCTAATTGCTTTTGACGTATTGTTGAAGAAAATAATTATAATCGATTGTTCCATCCATTTTCGTATCAATTTGTGATGTTAATGTATAGAATTCTTCATCATTTAATGAACATTTATATTGATTAAGAATTTCTTTAAATGCTTTGACAGGTACAGCACCACTATTTGTTGGATCTCGTTGTTTAAATGTTCGTCGTAATTGTTTATAGGAATCAGATAACTGTAAGAAAAATATTTATTAAATTTAAAAAATAAATAAAAAAAAACAAAAAAAATGTTTACTTTTCGACTAAGTTTACTACAAACTTGAGTTAAAATCGATCGATCCGATGTAGCACGAGGTGATCGTTCATTTATAGTTGGTAATGGATAATTTCTATTGGATTCTTCAACAACACCAATTAATTCAGGAAGTGGCGCATGATGTTTTAAAAATCGAACATAATTCATTCTTTTTAAAATTAAATTATTTAAAACAAAACCAAACCAAAACAAAACAAAGCGCTTAAAATTTACCTTGAATCATTTTTTGTTTGAAATTTAAATTTAAAAACATCAAGATCATCTTGATTAACTGATGGACAAAGTTCAGTTAGAATCTCATCAAATTCATCGGATTGAACATAACCTGTTCTATATGGATCTAATTCAGCAAATTCTCTTCGTAATTCATTCCAGTTTGAACGAATAGCATTCAGTGCAGTGCCATGAACAAGAATAGAATCTCCATATAATTTTCTTGATGTTAACAAAAAATCTGCATCGCCTCGTTTAGGTGGATTTTTTTTAGCATTTGGATAATGTGCTGAACGTTTGGAGTAACCAAATTCACGTAAAAATTGATAAAAATCTAAATGTCCATTTTCTTTTAAATGACAACGTGACCAAACCAAATCGATTTCAGAACGTGTTACTTCAGGTTTCAGAAAAAGACTAAAGAATTTTATTTTGTTTTGTTTTAGATTAAATCAATAAACAAACCGTTTAAATAAATCGAATAAAAGATCTTGTGTTAATTCTCTGTATGAACCACGATCAAGTTTTTTAAATTCATCTTCAATATCTTTATAACGATTTCGTATCAATGATTTAAGCATTTCACAAAGCTAAAAATAAAATAAACATTTTTCTTATTGACAAAAACAAACGATTAAAATAAAAATCGAATTAAACCTCATCGATTGATCTTGTTCGTTGTTGTTGTTCATCATCATTATTATTATTATTATTATTCAAAGTTTGATTTAAATAATTTTGTCTTTTCTGTTTTAATTCTTGAAGATTTAATTTTTGGCGAATAGTTTTTTCTTTTGTTGAATCCCATTGAGAGTTTCTAAAATAAAGTAAAATATAAAATATAAAATATAAATAAAATAAAATAAATTCGAACTTTGATGATTTTTGTTGTTCCTGTTCTTGTAAATGAAGTGTTCGATCAAGAACTTGCTTTAAATATTCTTTATATTTAACTCTTCGATTTTCATCCATTGGAATTTGTTTCAGTAATTGACGATATTCATCTGGTTTTAATATATAATTAATAAAATCTTCAATGACTGATCTTAATTCATTGGCTGATACTGTTCCACTGTTTGATACATCAAAATTGTAAAATAAATCTCGAACTTGTTCATAATTCATTGATAAAGCATAATCAATTTGTTTTTCTAACGATGTTTGACGTGTATCTTCTGCTGGTCTTAATTAGGAGAGAAAAAATATTGATTTTTGTCAATAAAAATAAAAATAAAAATAAAAACCAACATTTGATTATCAGCATTAATTCGTTTTCTTGTTGGATCGGATTTTTGTTTAAAAGCATTAATAACATCATGATATGGTATTCCATCATTTGTTAATGATAAATCAACATTTAATCGTTTTAAAAAAAATTCTAAAAGATTCGTTTCTAATTTTAAACCAAATCTTTTTAATTCCTCAAGAAATCGATCACGAGGTAACTAAAATATATATAACATATATGCTGTTGTTGTTGTTGTTGTTACATTTACTATAAGTGAAACTTACAGTTCCCATTTGTTTTGTATCTAAACGTTCAAGTGAACGTTCAAGATCAGAAAGTCCTTGAGGAAATTTATAATTAAGCCATTTTTGTATTTGATTTTCATCTAATTGACCACGTGAATCTAAATCAATAAATAAGTAAATAGATAAATAAATAATTTAAAAAACTAAAATAAATACGAATAAGACGAGGCGTTTTTAAATCTGATTCACTGTGCGATGATTGAGCTGTTCTTGATGGTGAATGAAACGATGATTCGTCATTATTTGCTAATTTGATTTCTTCTTCTCCAATTGATTCATTTGTTAAAATTTTAGTAAATTTATCTGAATTAACTGCTTTAAATCCATCTGTATCAAATCTATTTGTTTAAAGAAAAGAAAAAGACACAATTATTTAAAAATAAATGATGGAAACATACTTATCCCATAATTTATCAAACTCGGTATCTTTCATTTTATAACCCATATCGTTAATAGCAATATGAAATTGTGCTTTGAAAATTCTTGACGATGGCCCACCATTCAATGAAGGACAAATATTTAATAAATCTTTATGTCTAATTAGTTTAAACAAAAAAGAAATAAAACATAGAATATAGAACTGAACCAATAAATATTAACTTTATTCGAATTTTTTCTTTTAATATTAAAAACATTTGTGTTGCTGATTTTCTTGATGAAGATTCTTCTCTTGGTGATTTATCTCGATTAATCCAATCAGGTAGTTGTTCTTCACCATTAAATAATGATTGAAGAAATTCATCAAAGCTAATCATAAAAAATAAAGACTAATGAATTAATAAAATAAGAATAATATAAAATCAAAACCTTATTTTATTTAAATATTTAAGATCGAGCCTTTCTAATAATTTTTCAATTTGATTTGGTGCTATTTGCGTTTGTGTACCAAAAATAGTTGCAATTAAATGTTGTAATGCTTGACGAGATATTTTGCCATTTGGATCATTTTGAGCAGCATGACGAAATTTAGTGCGAACATCATGTAATTGTGAACGAACTTTTTCTCGTAATTTAACCTCAAGTTCATCGATTTGAATTCGAGATGTTCTATGATTTTGTTTTTCTTTATCTTTATCATAATCATACGATGATGATGATGATGATAATTGACTATCTGTTCTGTGACCTTGAATTGTTTTGTTATTGAAAGAATTATTTTATAAAAAATAAAATAATAAGAATCTTACCAAATATAGGTAATCGAACTTGATCTTGTTCATAAATTGTTTGCATATCATCATTATGTTGAGAATATTTTCGTGTATTTGAATTATGTTTAAATGAAGATGATCTTCGATGACGATTGATCGATTCAGATCGTGAAGATTCATTTCGAATTAATTTTCCATCACCATGACCATCTCTTGATCGTCCACGAATATCTAAGTTCGTTTTATTATTATTATCAATTCGTTTTGATGGATGTTCAATTTTTGGATATGAATTTAATTTTTTATTTAATAATGGTGGTGATGAAGATTGTTTGTGATGATCATATCCTGGTAGAGGTGTTGCAGAGACAACAGACATTCTTACTTTTTATTATTCTACAGCCAAGACAACGACTGAAACGATTTTTTTTATTTTTGTTACTATTCAATTTAGAAAGTTTTTTATTTGATCAAAAAAGTAAAGAGAGCAAAAACGATGACAACGTTTTTCCCTCTCTCTTTCGTATAAAACATAGAAAAAAAGTTTAAATAAACGATGAGTTTTTTCTTTTTAAATTTTGCCATCGCTTTCAAGAACAAACATTGACACTTGAAAGAAAGAAAAATATCGAATGACTTTCAATAATAAAATTGAGTTTACTTTAGTTATTTTGATTTTTTCATAAGATGAAAATCATCGAATATCCAATTAAAAATATTTTGTTTCCCACTAAATCCTTTCATAACATATAAAGAAAATAAAAATATTTGTTTGATATGATCACTATATTAATAGAGAAACATTGATATCTTTAATAATTTTATTTAAATAATAATAATGAAAAAATGATTTTATCAGTTAACTTCATTCTGATCAATAGTTATTCATATTGATGTTGTAGATGAAAATCGAAAAATGAAAATATATCAATTTCGATTTGGATTAATGAGATTAGTAAGATTGACTCAATCTATGTTAACTTTTATTTGTCAATAAAAAGATCAATATTAAATATTGAAAATAATCAACAACAAGAAATCTTTCAAAATATGATCAATTTTTATCGGTTTCTATTTACATTGAAAACAACAGGCGAATATATACAACATTATTTCGTTTTTTTTTCATTCTTAGTTACGCATTTTACTAGTGACAATTTTTATCGTTAATAATAATGATCTATGACATAGTTTTGTTTCATATTGAATTAAAATTAAATGATTTAAAATAATTATCATTATTGGTGATTAATTCCATTAGTAACATAAGTAAATTTAGATATAACAAACTTAATCAATAATTTCATAAGAAAATAATTACATTGAAATTTATTTTAAAGATTATTTTCTTCGTCTTTGTCTTATGATTTTTATTATCTATGAAACAGTGAATTTTTATTTGATGTGAAAATTTTTCTTTAGGTTCTCTAAAATTTCAGTATTATATAAAAAGAAAGCCAATAAAACAATAAATATTTATTTTCAATTAACAAATAGATTAATAGATTGATGAATTTCTTTCCTAAAGAAATGAATTATTTAAAAAACTAAAATAAACTATCGAAAAGCAAGTATTAGAAATCGACACAAATCTAAGAGAGAAATATATAGAAATAAAAATTAACTGAAGAAATTCTCTTTATTTAATATATTAATAATCTTCTATTGATCAATTGATAAATAAAGATTTTGTTATTATGTTTATTTTCAGAGTTAATTCCTGTTTTCATCCCATACAAAAATTAATTCTCTCCTAATTCGTCCCATTCTTAATGCAACTATTCCCTCACAATAAATTTTGGAAATTGATTTAGTCTCTTCTCTCCGTAGCTTCCACATTTTCTTCAATAAGTATTATGGTCGGTTAAGATGCTTTGCATAATTTGTTGTGAGCAATAAGTTCACGATGAACGTATTAGTTATCAATTGATAAACTTGATTTACTTGAGCAATCGCTACTTCTACACCTCCAGTCGACATGGTTCTTGTTTATACATTTAACAGTGTATTGAAAATCTAAATAATTTACAATTTACTTATTCCGTTTACTGGTTCTAAATCGAAACATGTAATAGCAATAACAGCGTACAATGAATATGTGAATAGCTCTCAGATTGTTTTTCATACCTTCTTTCCATTTAATAGATCCACCACATTAGTAAAAAGGATACCAAGTTGTTATTCTTCCATACTAGTTACATACATCATTTTCGATAAAGACCATGCAATTAATTCTCTTGATCTGTTATATATCCTTTCTCTTGTTCAGAAATAGTTCATCATATAAAAACAAACAACTTCACATCGCAATCAATTCAATCACAATTTTGTATTTTTAAATCAAAAGAAAAATATTTATATTGCATTTCTTCTTCCTCTCAATAAATCGTACCCTTTTGTTGTATAGCATCTTTTGGTAGAAACTTGCGAGCGTCAAAAATAAGAATATGATTTATTTACACATGGAATATTTTCGATGAATTTTCTTTCCGAACTTTAATTTAAAAATAGTAAAAAATCTTATTTCGAAAATAATCAGATAAAAGTTTAATGTTTTTGTGTTTGAAGCGAAATAAATTTAATTTTTGAAAACTAAAATAAATATAATTGTTAAAATAATTAAGAATGATGTCGAATAAAATTGAAAAATATGTGTAGCTGAACAAACAGCACTTGATGAACCAGTTAAACATGTTGAATATATACTTTTGCAAGCATCTGTACATGTTGTTGAAGCACATGTTGATACTGATATTGTTCCTAAATAACTTAATGAACAACCAGAACCTGTACAACATGAACAATCACATCCATATGAATTAACACTTTTTATTAATAATAATAAACAGAATAGAGCCACTATAATTGAAACAAATTGAGGATATGGACGAACACCAAACATTTTAAATTTATTTCGAAGCAAATCAATAAAATGAAAGCTTTGATTTTATTTTTTTACTTAGAAAGTAATGAAAAAGAAATCTTTTCTTTTCGTTGATCATTTTATCGAAAATAAAAAAGAGATAGAGAATGGAATAAAAAATGACGAAAGAAAACTGTAAGTCTTCATTCAATATTGTTTTAGTATTCTCAGATTTTCACTAATTTAGTGGATTTATTCAATGAAAAAGGAGTCTTTTTTTTAATGTTTTTTAAAGTTAATTCAATGAAAATCGTATACTAATCAGATTGATTTTCTTCTTCAAAATAGAAAAGATAAAAAATAAAAACCGATCGATTTACTTTAACCTATATATTCTTTTTTAGTTGAAATTGATTTGTTCTTTAAAGAATTTACATCATTACTTTTGTTAAATAAAAAGTTTCTCTATGAGCACCGTTCCTATTTAAACCTATGTTCAGCAAAGATTACAATCTCTTTAAATCAATATCAATTCAAATTAAATGAAACAAATATTTGAAATAAGATTAAATATGTTTTTAGCTGTAGTAAGTTCTGTTGATTGATGAATTGAATTGATGATGATTATATTTATGAAATGTTAAGGAAAACAAAAACCAAAAAAAGGCACTTCATTGACGTAGTTCAGAAAAACATATCATCATCAAGCTTAATTTTTCGAAATTCCATATCCGGCTGTGAATTGTTACTTTTTAATTTTCATTGACTAATAAAAACAATTAGTTTTTTATATAATTCAAAGTTGAAACATTGATTAGTCTTAGGAAACAATAACTTGTTGTGAATTAAATGATTATCCATTTGAATGTTGTCTATGATGATCAATATTAAAGATAGGCTGTTCAAGGATTAAGAATAAAATAAACAAATGATGAAAAATGCAAATATCGATGGGCGTAGGGAACGAACTTCCATATCATCAAGTGTTGAGTAAAAGATATAATTATCTCCGTAAAACATTGTATATCTCCCGTATTTCTATATACACGATGTCTCTTATATCTCTTAATGTGCTTTCGTAGCAGTTGGCTGAACTTTTAAGAAACCCATATGCTCAAAACCGGAAAAAACCGCCGATTAACCGAACGTATAACTAAGCAGTTAACCGGCGGTATTCGGCGGTTATTTCTCAACCTGTATGTCGTTGACACTGAACCGTTTTTAAATTCATTTTAAATAGAATAATTTTTAAAAATATTTTATTAAATTAACATCAATTTCACCTAACGAAAATACACAATACGATAAGCATACAAGAATACAAAAGAAATAGTTCACCTAATTTAGAAACACACGCAAGTAATATCACCGACAAGAGACAAATACAAAAAACTTTCTGAATGATCAATCAAAAACAATTTTCACATAAAATAGACAAAAACTGAATACATATATATATACATTTACAAGCTGCATATACCTTTAATAGTAAAATATATATTCACCACTGAAAATTGTACATCTACCAATTGAACATATGTTGAGCAATAATTTAACATGTAAATATCTAAAAAAAAGATTAAAAATATTCTATATGTATGTAATATATTTGTTCATTTATTTATCAACTGCCCCATATCGATCGGACACGCTACCGACACAGGTGTCACTAGCGTGTCCAATCGGCATGGGTTGCATCCTTTGCACAATGAGCCTTTATCTTCAATTGAAAGAAACATTCAAAAGCTCATCTCTCTTCATTTTTTTATTTAATATCACCGACTTAATTTTGCAATTTCATCAGAACCATGTGTCGTCCAAAGGTTTGAAAAATTTTCCTAGCACATTATTTTTTGAAAACAATCTAGAAGATTTTTTAGCTTTACATGAGCTTTATTCATTAGGCATGAAGAAAGAAGTAGTTTATTTTTGTTTAATAAAATAAACATAATACCTTCGACATATGCCACTAGTTACATTTTCAGATCATTTATACATTTTCTCATTAATATATGGTAAACGTTTCGCCGTGTTTGAAAAAATAAAACCCGCATGATGTTAAAAAAATAATGTTCAGTTCTTTTACCTGCTTTTCTTCACCATATTTATGTTTTAGGATAACCAAAATCTAGCACTTCCCGATTTAGTTCGCATCGATCACATAATAAGCCAAAATATACAGCTACAAGAACGAGTAAACCGACTAGAAATACGTGAAGTCGCTCATAACCTCGTTCGAATTGAATTACAAAGAGAAAATATGGAGGTATGTTGCAAACATAATTAATGTATATTATTATATTTATTTTTTTCATTTAGTTACGAGCTGAATTAAGAGAGAGAAAAATGGTACCAAATTTAGTTGTGGTATGTATACAGATACCTTTGGGATACATCAATAAAATATTTGTTTTCCTTGTCATTACTATTAGGTGGTATCATGCGCAATCATTTTAATAGGTGCATACGCATATTTTTCCAGATAAAATAATTCTTCATTAGATGACGTATATTCTCATCTGTAAGCGATGCTCTATTTTCTTTCATTCAAATACATTTGTCAAGCAATTGAGTACTGAAATGTGACGATCAAAGCAAAATTATCTTTAATTCTTGCTTTATATTGAATTCAATCATCACTTCAATTCTCCAGGATTTCATATTTATCATTTGAACTTAATTTTGATTGATCGTCACGTCACCAATAAATATCCTAAAGAAGAATTTTACTCAATGGAAAAAAATCATAAATTGTATCTTTTTTTTTGTTAAAAATAATAATAAAACAAACTTGAATACGAATGTCATTCGATATTGAACAAATAAATGTTTCTAATTGTCCAACATAAGGAGAATGAATTGCTTTTTCAATAATTTCAAGTGGACCTTTCAATGCTAGTCTAACTGTTCGATTAAATATTCCAAAATGTCAAATGATACACAGAATATATAGATTCCAATATGTTGATTTGATTGAAGTTTTATTTATTTAAATAACACTTTGATTAAAGTTCCAACTAACTAATGAAAGTGGAGATGAGTCAACAGTAAAATCAATTTCAATTGCCTCTCCTCCTGTAGCTAAGACAGCTGAAGAATTTTTTGATTTATTTCCATATTTGTCATGAAAAATTAGTTTATCTACAAAAAAAATTGATAGAAAAATAAAACGGATATTATTTTTGAAATAGTTAAAAGAGATATTGAATAAAATTGAAAAATCTGCGGATCATCCAGTTGAACATGTTGAATATTTATTTTTACAAGCATTTGTACATGTTGCTGAGGCACATGTTGATACCGATATTGTTCCTCAACCAGCTAATGTACAACATGAACAATCACAACCATATATATCAATCCCAGGTCGATCAACCTGAGCCGTAAACGGCCGTATACCTATCATTCACGGTGAAAAACGGCAACCGTATTCTGTAGTCGTTTACTGTTGCCGTAAACGAAGTTATACGATGAAATAC